TCTCCCTCTCTCTCTTCCCCTCTCTCTTCCTCTCGCTTCCTCTTCCTCTCTCTCTCTCTCTTTCTCTCTCTCTCTCTCTCTCCCTCCCTCCCTCTCTCTCTCTCTCTCTTATTCCCAACATATAAGAGCCCTTTCATGTTTTCGCTGGCATCTTTTGCCAAGTTCTGCTGCTGTGAGCCTGGGCAGCCTGAGCTCTCCTTCTTCCTCTCCTTCTTTTTTGTTCATTGGCGTTTTAATCCTGCAAAAGATTTAAAAAGTCTTTTAGCTTTAAAGTTCTTGCAAAATATTTCAAGTCGTTTTAGGTTTAAAAAATCCTGAAAAAGATTTCAAGTCAGCTTTAACAGGAACATCTGGAGGAAGGAAGCATAAATATAACATCGAGGCAGCATTTTCTTCAATCCCGGGGTTACTGAGTGCACAAGAACTACGCTTGATGGTCAGGAAAGCGTCACACCGCCTCGGCCAACCGTCGCCAAAACTTTCGTTCCGATTCACGAAAAGCAGAAACCAAACCACCACAACTGTTGTCGCACCCCCCACCCAAACAAATTGGCAACGCTGAACAAAAGTAAAATTTTGCTGCCCTTTTGAAGTTTCCAAGGCTTGGGGCTTCGCAGATAATCAGAATTGGAAGGGACCTTGGAGGTCATCTAGTCCAACCCACCCCCCGTATATTTTCCAGGAGAAGATTACACTGAGAGGGAGAAATGAAGAGAGTTACAAGGTGGATGATCTTTAAATAAATAAATAAGTAAGTAAAATGAAAAATAGTGGGAGATGAGGAGAGAGAGAGGGGAGAAGGGGCAGATAGGGAGGAAGTCGAGGAGGGTAGGGGAGAGATGAGGGGGTGGGGGAGGTAAAAGGAAGAAGAGGGAGGGGGAGAGAAATAGGGGAGGGAGAAGGGGTCATTGCCCCCTTTCCTCCCATCGCCCTCCACACCTTGGGCTGTAGAAACTTGGAGACCCTCCCCCAATTGGAAAGGAGGGGGGCGGGCAAAAAAAAGTCAGAAAATAAAATACAGGCTGAATAGTCAAGACTTTGTTGATGATCCAAACTCCGTCGAGGACCTTGGAGTAACTCATCTCTAATGACCTAAGCGCAAAAGCCCACGGTAACGACAGAGCCCAAAAGGCATTAAGAGTTGTTAACCTAATCCTACGTAGCTTTTTCTCCGGTAATATCACACTACTAACTAGATCCTACAAAACATTTGCTAGCCCAATACGCGAATACAGCTCATCAGCCTGGAACCCACATTACGTATCTGATATTAGCACAGTTGAGAAAATCCAGAAATATTTCACAAGGGGGGGTGGGGGGGCGTTGGCTTCAAAAAATTTAGCAACCGGTTCTCGGCTGGGTGGGCCTGGCCGTGGTAGGTATGGCCTACTCGACCTCCTGCACCACGGCAAGGGAGGGGGGTGTATATTTATTTATTTAATTAATTTGTCAAGTGATTATAAGATAACAGGTATAAGTATAAACATAGTTATGAATACATGAAATGGGTACATATAAGAAAAACTATGGACCTCACCCCTTTCCTAAGAGGTCCGTAGGGGGCGTGCATAAGCGCACCAACGTGCCCACCGTCCCTGTCCTATGGTTTCTTTTATATTTTCTTATATGTACCCATTTCATGTATTCATAACTATGTTTATATTTATACCAATTATATTGTAAGCAATTGACAAATCAAATAAATAAATAAAAATAAATAAAAATAAGCGGCTGGTGGTGGTGCTGCCGCCGCTGCGGTGTCCGCTCCGCCCCGGGGAGGAGTTGCGAGTGGCACCCCGTCCCGCTGGGCCAGCCCCGCAGAGGCAGCCGAGGGCGACCCCTGCTGGGCAGAAGGAGGGAACCCTCAGGTGGCGGGGGAAGGGCTCTCCTTGCACACGCACGGCCCTTGCACGCGCACCAGACACGCGCACAAGCACAGGCGCACAAGCACAGAAGCCCACACACAAACACACAAGCACACAAACATTTCAAACACACAAGCACAGAAGCCCACCCACAAGCACACCCACAAGTGCACAAGCACACAAACCCACAAGCACACAAACACACAAGCACACACACAAGAACACAAGCACAGAAACACACAACTACACAAACACACAAACACACAAGCACAGAAGCACACCCACAAGTACACAAGCACACAAACACACAAGCACACAAACACACAAGCACACACACAAGAACACAAGCACATTAATACACACACACACAAGTACACAACTACACAACTACACAAACACACAAGCACACAAGCACACACACAAGTACACAAGCACAT